ACTAAATGACAGTTCTTAGCCAGTAAATGACGGTTCCCAGCCAGTAAATGACAGTTCCTAACCAGTAAATGATAATTCCCGGCCAGTAAATGACAGTTTCATGGCCAGTAAATGACAGATTCCAGCCAGTAAATGACAATTCCCGGCCAGTAAATGACAATTCTCAACCTGTAAATGACAGTTCCCAACCTGTAAATGATAGTTTCATGGCCAGTAAATGATCATTCCCGGCCAGTAAATGACAGTTTCATGGCCAGTAAATGACAGATTCCAGCCAGTAAATGACATTTCTCAGCCAGTAAATGACAATTCCCGGCCAGTGAATGACAATTCCCGGCCAGTAAATGACAATTCCCAACCTGTAAATGACAGCTCCCAACCTGTAAATGATAGTTTCATGGCCAGTAAAGGACAATTCCCGGCCAGTAAATGAAAGTTCCCAGCCAGTAAATGACAATTCTCAGCCAGTAAAGGACAATTCCCGGCCAGTAAATGACAATTCTCAGCCAGTAAATGACAGTTCCCAGCCAGTAAATGACAATTCTCAGCCAGTAAATGACAATTCCCGGCCAGTGAATGACAATTCCCGGCCAGTAAATGACAATTCCCAACCTGTAAATGACAGCTCCCAACCTGTAAATGATAGTTTCATGGCCAGTAAAGGACAATTCCCGGCCAGTAAATGAAAGTTCCCAGCCAGTAAATGACAATTCCCGGCCAGTAAATGAAAGTTCCCAGCCAGTAAATGACAATTCTCAGCCAGTAAAGAACAATTCCCGGCCAGTAAATGACAATTCTCAGCCACTAAATGACGGTTCTTGGCCAGTAAATGACGGTTCCCAGCCACTAAATGACAGTTCTTAGCCAGTAAATGACGGTTCCCAGCCAGTAAATGACGGTTCTTGGCGTCTTCCTTCTGTTTCTACACAAAGCAGTCGGGTCTGTTTGGATTTAAAAAGGGAACCCCAATTTAAAAAAGTGTGAGTTCCCCCAAACATTCACACCAGCCCCCTATCCAAGCATGCAGCCTGGCAGGCCAGGAAAGGAAGGGGCGATCTCCGCAACATCATTGACCATAAATGGAAATGTCTGTATATGTCACCTGGGAGACCCCGCCCCTTTGTATTTATCAGCTGTGATTGGCCAGACCTGTCATTCAGCGGGGGGTGAAGCAATGGGACCAGACGTGTCAGTTTTTTTTTGTGAATGAGGAGGATCTACAGTGATGGACGGCGTGATCGATTGATTTACATTTCTTTATTAAAGGAGGAGCCAAAAACTTCATATGTGTTGTAATAAGTAGGGGGGGCTACGTACCCCGTACCCATCCACATGGGGGGGGCAGTAACTGGGGGTCATCTTCCTGTTTCCTATAAGCCCTTACCTTCGGACACCCAAACCCATTGGTCCAGGGTTGAGGAGCCCTTATCCTCACCAACATGACAACAAGATGCTGTGCTGTGGGGAACCTTCCTGGCAAGGTCCCCCCATGCTGAGGACATGTGGCCTGCTATGGTTCAGGAGGGGAAGCCGCACCTTTCCCGGCAGGCGGCACGGCGGACTAATATCTTCCTCTCCTCTGAGCTACCCACCATCATCCTTGGGGATTTCAACATCCCTGTCAACCTCGACAACCCGGACACAGCCCATCTCCTCCACCTAACCTCCTCCTTTGCACTCACACAGTGCATACAATCCACCACCCACTCCGACGGGAACATCCTGGACCTTGTCTTCTCCAACCGCTGCGCTCCCCACAACCTCATTCACTACACCCCCTTCCCTCTCTCTGACCACAACCTGATTACCTTCTCTATCTCCTCGTCCTCCAACGCCTACCCCTCCAAATGTCACACTACTACCAGCCGTAACCTCCGCAACCTGAACCCTGCCCCCCTCCACTCTGCAGCTGATCAAATCTCCATGACCGCATCCTCCCCCTGTCCTGCCCCGACTTGGCTATGACCGCCTACAACAACGCGCTGTCAACAGCCCTTGACTCACTAGCGCCTTTAACCACACGCAACATCAGACCCCGACCGCTCCAGCCCTGGCAGACTGATCACACCAAAACCCTCAAACGACGCAGTCGTACCCTGGAGCGACTATGGTGCAAAACCAAATCCCAACAAGCCTTCACCCGCTACAAATCTGCCTTCCACACCTACACCTCCTCCCTCCATGCTGCCAAACAGGCCTACTTCCTGACCCTCATCAAGGCCCTCTCCACCAATCCTCGCCGACCTTCTCCACCCTCAACTCTCTACTCTCTCCACCCCCACCTCCACCCAGCACCTCACTCACCGCTCTCTCCCCCCCCCTCATCCCCACCCAGCACCTCACTCACCGCTCTCCCCCCCCCCTCACCTCCACCCAGCACCTCACTCACTGCCCTTGAGATTGCCAATCACTTCAAAAATAAGATTGACACAATTCGCAAAGACATCGCCGCAACTCACACCCCCTCTCAACCCGTCCCCTCTCACACAGCTACCCCCTTATCCCCACTCCCCCCTCGACATAACCCGCAGGGACTTCGTCGCTGCTCAAACTCCCTCCAACCCCGTTCCCCCTCACTCAGCTACCCCCTCATCATCACCCCTCTCCCATGGCCCCACCACTGCTCTGACCCCCACTTCCACCCCACCCTACATTCCTCATACTGAAGCCCCCCCAACACTCCGCACCTTTGACCTTACTACCATCGAGGAAGTCTCCAAGATCCTCTCTGATGCCGCCTCACCACCTGCCCCCTCGACCCTATCCCTCACAACTCCTCCATCCTACGCTCCCTCACCCACATCTTTAATCTCTCCCTCTCCTCCCTCCGCACTTTCCCCTCCCCTCTGAAACATGCACACATCACCCCCATACTTAAAAAGCCCCTCCCTGGACCCCAATGACCCGAACAACCTCAGACCCATCTCCCTGCTCCCATTTACATCCAAACTCCCGAGCGCCTAGTCTACGCCCGCCTATGCTCTCACCTCAACGACAACAACCTCCTCGATCCCCTACAGTCCGGCTTCCGTCCCCTACACTCCACCGAAACCCCCCTACACTCCACCGAAACCACCCTACACTCCCCCGAAACCATACTCAAACTCTCCAACGACCTGCTAACCGCCAAAGATAATGGCCACCATTCAGTGCTCCTACTCCTTGACCTCTCTGCGGCCTTCCACACAGTCCACCACCCCCCCTCCTCCTCAAAATACTACACTCCCTCGGCATCAGAGATTCTGCTCTCTCCTGGCTCTCATCCTACCTGTCACAACGCTCTTTCAGCGTTACCTATAATGCTACCACCTCCCCCTCACTCCCCCTCTCTGTTGGGGTCCCTCAAGGCTCTGTCCTTGGGCCCCTTCTCTTCTCCATCTACACCTCCTCCCTTGGCCGACTCATACACTCTCACGGCTTCAACTACCACCTCTATGCCGACGACACACAAATCTATCTCTCAACCCCCCACCTCACCCCCTCGGTCTCCGCGCCCGAATCACACACCTACTGAATGACATATCAGACTGGATGTCACTCCACTTCCTTAAACTGAATCTCTCCAAAACCGAGCTCCTTGTCTTCCCCCCAGCCCGGACACCACCCCCCATTGACTTCTCCATCACATCCAACAACGCCACCATCAATCCCGCCCCGCCCGGGCCAGAGTACTGGGTGTCATTCTGGACTCCAACCTATCCTTCCAGCCCCAAGTCCAATCTTTAACAAACTCGTGCAGACTCCTCCTCCGCAACATGCAGACTCCACCTCCGCAACATGCAGACTCCCGCCTCCGCAACATGCAGACTCCGCCTCCGCAACATGCAGACTCCGCCTCCGCAACATGCAGACTCCGCCTCCGCAACATGCAGACTCCGCCTCCGCAACATGCAGACTCCACCTCCGCAACATGCAGACTCCGCCTCCGCAACATGCAGACTCCGCCTCCGCAACATGCAGACTCCACCTCCGCAACATCGCCAAAATCCTCACGTTCCTAACCCCAGAAACCACTAAACAGCTCATCCACTCCCTCATCATATCACGACTCGACTACTGCAACTCCCTCCTCACTGGCCTGCCTCGCCGCTGGCTATCCGCTTCAGTCCATCCTGAACACGGCAGCCAGACTCATCCACCTTTCCAACCGCTCCATCTCCGCCACCACCCCCCTCTGCCAATCCCTCCACTGGCCTCCACTCAGTGTCCTCCACCCCCCTCTGCCAATCCCTCCACTGGTCTCCACTCAGTGTCCTCCACCCCCCTCTGCCAATCCCTCCACTGGCCTCCACTCAGTGTCCTCCACCCCCCTCTGCCAATCCCTCCACTGGCCTCCACTCAGTGTCCTCCACCCCCCTCTGCCAATCCCTCCACTGGCTTCCGATTGCGCAACGGATCAAATTCACAATCCTAACACTGACGTACAAAGCCGTCCACCATACTGCCCCGAACTACATCACTGACCTAATATCCAAGTACCACCCAACACGCACACTGCGCTCCTCACAAAGACCTCCTTCTCTCTAGTTCCCTGGTCTCCTCCTCCCATGCCCGCCTCCAGGACTTCTCCAGGGTGTCACCCATCCTCTGGAACTCCCTGCCCCAACCCATCAGATTATCACCTACTCTCCTCTCCTTTAGGCGCACCCTGAAAACCCACCTCTTCAGGGAACCTACCCCACCCCCTGCTAACTTGCTGACCTCCTCCACACTCCTCCTACCACTCCATCCCCCACAGCTATCTCCTCCTGTACCACCATCCCCTCCCTCCTAGATTGTGAGCTCCCAGGATCAGGGCCCTCGATCCCCTCATGTATCACATTGTATTGGTATTGTTTCTGTCACATGTTCTGTCCCCCTCTGTAATGTACAGCGCTGAGCCAACTATGGGGGCTTTATAAATACTGTATAATAATAATAATATCTGTGGGGGCTTCATCTGAGGTGGGTGATCCTGCCATGAAGGTCCTTGTTCCTGGTATAGATAGGGTGACAAGGTACAGGACAGGAGAAGTGGGACTGTGCAGAGTCCATACATACAGAATAAGAGGAGATATACTGAGAATGACACCCGGCGCCCGGCATCCAGGACAGAAGTGGGACTGTGCAGAGTCCATACATACAGAATGGGGTGACAGATACCGAGAATGACACCCCGGCATCCAGGACAGGAGAAGTGGGACTGTGCAGAGTCTATACATACAGAATAAGAGGAGATACTGAGAATGACACCCGGCATCCAGGACAGGAGAAGTGGGACTGTGCAGAGTCCATACATACAGAATAAGAGGAGATACTGAGAATGACACCCGGCATCCGGACAGGAGAAGTGGGACTGTGCAGAAGTCCATACATACAGAAATAAGAGGAGATACTGAGAATGACACCCGGCATCCAGGACAGGAGACGTGGGACCGTGCAGAGTCCATACATACAGAATAAGAGGAGATACTGAGAATGACACCCGGCATCCAGGACAGGAGAAGTGGGATTGTGTCAGAAGTCCATCCATACAGAAATAAGGACAGATACTGAGAATGACACCCGGCATCTGGGACAGGAGAAGTGGGACCTAGTGCAGAGTCCATACATACAGAATGGGGACAGATACTGAGAATGACACCACCGGCATCTGGGACAGGAGAAGTGGGACCGTGCAGAGTCCATACATACAGAATGGGAGAAGACAGATACAGAGAATGACACCCGGCATCTGGGACAGAGAAGTGGGGGACCGTGCAGAGTCCCATACATACAGAAATGGGGACAGATACCGAGAATGGTAGCAAGACACCCGGCATCCGGGACAGGCGAAGTGGGACTGTGCAGAACAGTCTCCATACATACAGAATGGGGACAGATACCGAGAATTTCCAACCCGGCATCTGGGACAGGAGAAGTGGGACTGTGCAGAGGGTGTGGTTTCCTGTGGAGCAGCTGCAGGCTGTGTTGTGCTGCTGACCTCCTCTGATGTCTGATAACAAGCCCAGGTTGGGCTGCCCTGGCTTGGGACGCCTCCAGGAGAGTCCCAGGCTTCTCTCGACAGGACCTCTCATGGAGGTGAAGCTGTGGTTGGTGGTGTGAAGCGGGAGGTACGGAGTTTCGGTGAATGGAAAGCAAATGGCAGAGACTGTGAGTAGATGTGGGAATGTTGGTGATGGAAAGTCCCAGTTGTGAGAAGTTCTGGTAATACAGAGAAATGATGAAGTCAGTCCAAGCAGTGTGAGAATGTCTCTCAGCAAAATGTCAGTTCTGGAAGTGCAGCACATGGCAGTCCGCCATTGCACAGCCACAGCATGCCCATGCCGTGCAGAGCGGGGCCCATCTATGTTTTTCAGTCTAAAACAGCAATGTAAAGGCTGTCACCAAGCAAACTCCAAGTTCTGGAGGAGCAACCCAAGGCAGTCCACCTTTAACAGGCACAACAAGCCAAGCAGAGGAAAGTTCAGTTCTGTCCAGCAATGTGATGTTGTTACCCAGCGCCTACAGTCCAAGCCTTGGAGGTCCAACTCCGCAGTCAGTATCACCCATTACAGGCAACCAGCAAGCCGCAGCAGAGCAAAAACCCATGCCCGTGCAGAGCGGGGCCCATGCCGTGCAGATGAGCGGGGCCCATCCAGTTCAGTCTCAAAACAGCCATGTAAGGGTTGTCACCCAGAGCACTCCAAGCTCTGGAGAAGCAATTGCAAGGCAGTCAGCCATTGCAATTTAACTGGAAGCCCAGCAGAGCGGAGCCCATGCCGTGCAAGAAGCGGGGCCCCCATACCAGTTCAGCCTAAACAGCAATGTAATGTTGTCACCCAGCGACACTCCAAGCTCTGGAAGTGCAACTCTCAAGGCAGTCAGCCATTACAGTCGCAGCAAGACCAGCAGAGCAGAGCTCAGTCAATTCTGTTTAAAACAGCAATGTAATGTTTTGTCAACCCTGCACAGTCCAAGTCATGGAGGGTCTAACTCCATGCGGTCAGCCATTACAGGCACCACAAGCTCAGCAGAGCGGGGCCCAGCTGTGCTCAGAGCGGAACCCATACAGTCCATGCAGCTCAGGGAATGTAAGGTTGTACACCCGGCATGCTTCAAGTCTCTGGAACTGTAAATCAAGGCAGTCAGTCATTGCAACAAAAAGCAAGTCCAGCCCAAGAGTAGAGCCCACAGCCATACAGTGCAAAGTCCATGCCGTGCAGCTGCTGGGTGATCACACAGTCCATATGGCTCAGGAAAGTGACACTATCACCCAGCACACTACCAGCTCTGGAGTAGTAACAAAAGGCAGTCAGCCATTGCAAACAAGCAAGCCCAGAAGAGTGGAGCCCATGCCGCACAGAGCCCAGCACAGGCCGCTCAGAGCGGGGCCCATACAGTACAGAGCGGAGCAGAGACACCTGTCCACTCCCAGTACTCTCCGACGCGCAGATCTGCAAGGACTTCTACGTTGGAGCAGAAAACTCTGAAGGAGAACTTACAGCAGTGTGTAATGGTGGGCAGTGTCCAGGAACGCTCATTTTCGCCCCACCACGGTCCCAGGTCCCGGCAGAAGAAGAGTGATGGAGCCAATAAGCCTCCACAGTCTGGCCCGGAGAGTCCCCCCTCTACATCCAGCAGAAGAGACCCTTCATACCCAGTACCTGCTGATGGGGATCAGAATTTCAAGCGTCCCGCGGATAGGAAGCAGAAAGTGTTAAAGTCACCTGTGCTGCACCCGGCTGACACAGGATTCCTGCTCTGGCGAGAAGAGAATGAAGACCTTGAGGAAAGCTAAGGCTTCGACCCCAGAAAAGGATTGACTCCATCTACAGACTCAAGGCTGCCGACCCCGGAATGAAGTCCTACATGACACAGCGAGCTTAAAACGCCCTGGGCATTGGAACTGGCCGGTATATCGAGGAACATTGATGCTGTTCTGGAAGAACTGGGACCAGGGGGGGAGGTGTAATCTATAGGGAGTGGCGATTGGGTTGGGGCACAATTAAGTGTAAAGATGGAGTCTTCTTCAGAGTCGGACACTCCGGGGAACTGATCCAAGGCACGCTACCAGCAAATGTGCCCTTCTGAAAGACAGACTCCAGCTCTGGAGCGACAGCGAGGTAGCGTCAGCTTCACCCAGCAGACTTTCATAGTATGCAGGAAACCCCAGAGAAGCGACATGGACTCCCCACATACATGGACCCTATGAGGACGGTGTTTGCCTACCACCCGGTTTCTCATGGTGGAACCAATGCTGAGGGGACAAGTTGTTCGGGGATGGGGTAGTTGATAAATTATGCAGATGAAGCTGCTGATGCTAGTGGGTGATATGGCCAGTGCGGATATCACTAATATTGATGTAGGGGTTCCTGATGTCATTAACACTGAGGTAGGTATGTCTGGATGGAGGTCAGGACCAGTCTGAGGACCCTGTGAATGTGGCGATGGAGGAGTCAGTTCAGGATAACACCCGTGATTTCCCCCCCTATTTGGTTTGAGTCGCCACCTGCTGATCACAAGGGAATAGTGGTTCCATCTGGCCATGTCCCCTCCTAGGAATGCCTGGAGCCGTGGGGCTCCTTCTTTTTCCAACAATACCCAGGTTATATACTGGTCAGGCCTTCAAGAGGAGGAACGTGGTCAGGTTGAAGCATAGGGTTTCCAGAGAAGAGCTCCCTGATAGGAGGTTTGTAGTTAGGGAGTTGCTGTGTCAGCAGATGGGGTTTGTGCCCGCAGATATTTTCTGGGCAGTTCATCAGCCTCCCTGACAGACGGGGGGTATGATGTCAGCTTCATAGCTCATGTCTGGCTTGGACAGGTTCTGGGCCGGCTTTAGTGGTTATCGCGATAAAGAGGGGTGGAAGAATTTTCACCTTCCTCCCCCATCTCCAAACCTGACACAGCAAACGTGAACATCAAAATTTTATATTTTTTTTTTTCTGAAAATGAGTCTGTGCCCCCCCAGGATATTGTAGTCTGTTGCCCCCCCAGGATATTGTAGTCTGTGCCCCCCCCAGGATATTGTAAGTCTGGCTCAGAAGGCCCATTGTGAGATGCGGTCTCTGATCTGACCAAAACTAGGGAACAGTGATGGGATTCTTGGACTGGAGGTTGGAGGGTTCTTGTCAAGCTGAGGGAGACGTAACTATGTTACCTCATCACCTTCACAAACATACTTCTCCATTGGGCTGGGAAGTGAGGAGTTTGGAGTTTTTCATTCTTCATGCAGGTCAGCCCCAGGGACTATGTGTTCAAATGCAGGTAAGGTCGTAAGTCGATGTGGCCGAGTGTTCTGGCTCTGTCACTGAAGTGTAATGTGTTGTGGGCGAGGCATCGGGATCCATGACAGTTTCTACCTCCGTGTGAGTAACAATCAAGTCTGAACATATATCTATGTGGTAGGTCTAGGCCATTTTGACACAGCGAGATTGCCCAGGTTGGCTTTCTCCACAATTAGAGTGAAGATTAGGAATCAGTTGGATGAGGAACTTTCTGTTGGGTGGCGCAGCCAAGACCACCTGGAGTGAGGAAGCCCTTAATTGAATAGGGGTGGTCATATCAAACTGGAGGGCGGAGGTAAACCCAGAGAGTCTCAACGGGTCCAGTATACCTACGGGGCAGGAGGTGCAGTGCTTCAGCAGACTGAAGTGCCAGAGGACCATCTGTGGCCATCCCATCCGTTTATAGTTCCTGCCTCTAGTGGAGAAGATATCATCCCAGGCAGAAGTCAGAAGGAATAGGAAGGGACAAGGCCACACCGCCTTAAACCTGAAAGTGAATATACAACCGATCGATGTGCAGAAATCCGTTACTAAGAAAGTGAGAAGGGCGACAAGAAATTTCGGTAGTATGGCACAGTCGGCAACACTGGTATGATGTCTCCTATCAGAGTCAGATGCCGTACGACTCCTGTGAATCGTAGAGGGACCTAATACTGGAGGAAGAAGATCTATAAAAGGGAATCTGACCAGCTAGTTCAAGGGGAGCAGGAGATAACCCCCCCGCCACACCCATATTTAATCTAAGAGCACCCGCCACACATCGAGCTCACCAGTTAATTGTAGACAATCCGATATGGAAACCTGGTAGATACGGGCGGAGTGACTCAAGGGGGATTCTGATTTATAAAAAGAGTTTAGAGCCAGAAAGGAATATAAAATGGGAGGAATTTATTTACAGCCATCAAATTCTATGAGAACTTTCATTAGTTTAATTTGTGACTTTCTGTCGTGTGAAGATGTAGGCAGTTGTTACATTGGTGGTTTATGTGTTTTTTATGATGATGCGTTACAGTTTTGTTACCTTGGTTAATTTGTATTGTTTATACAAATTAAATATCCTATACATACAGATTAAGAGGAGTGATACTGAGAATGTACACACGGCATCCGGGTCAGGAGATACGAGAATGTCACCCGGCATCCGGGGAAAGGGAGTTACCGAGGAATGACACCCAGGCGCATCTCCCAGCGACAGAAGTGCGCGCATGTGCCAGTCGAGTTATACATACAGAATAAGCCCGACAGATACCGAGAATGTCACCGGCATCCGGCGACAGGAGGAGTGGGACTGTGCCACAGAGGGTTGTGGTTTACCTGTGGAGCCAGCTGCAGGCTGTGGGGGGTGTGCCCTCCTCTGATGTCTGATACAACCCCCGGGGTTTGGGGCTGCCCTGGGGCTGGGACCCCTCCCGGGGGGAGTCCCAGGCTTCTGGGCCCTTTTTGCTAAATTGGAGGGGGAAGCTGGGGTTTGGGGTGGTTAAAGGGGCGGGGGGGGGAGGGGAGTTTCAGGGGAATGGAAAGAAAAAATGGCAGAGATGTGGTTTTAGATGGGGGGAATTTTGGTGTTTGGAAAAGGGTCCAGTGTGAAAAGGGTTTTTGGAAATTTAAAAGGAGTTTAAAGGGTCATTTCCAGCAGGGGGTGTGAGAATGTTTCTCAGCAAAATTTTCAGTTTCTGGAAGTCCCAAGCACATGGCAGTCCGCCATTGCCCCCACAGCATCCCCCAGCAGGATGGGCCCAGTCAGTTCATTTCCCAAACACCCCAATGTAATGTTGCCCACCAAGCAAACTCCAAGTTCTGGAGGGACCCAACCCCAAAGGGGCAGTCCCCCCTTTTAAGGCACAAAAAAGCCAAGCAGGGGGAAAGTTCGTCTTTTTCCAGAAATTTTTATTTTGGGTCCCCCCGTAGTCCAAGCCTTGGGGTCCAACTCCGGGCTTTTCCACTATTACAGGCCAACCCCCAAAGCCCACCCCGAGCAAAAACCCCTGCCTTTGGCAGAGGGGGGAGCCCCATCCAGGTTCATTTCCAAAACAGCCATTTTTAAGGGTGTCACCCAAGGGGAAACTAAAAAGCTCGGGAAAGGAGCAAGGGAAAAGGGCCCCAGTCAGCCATCCCCAATTACTAAAAAGGCCCAGCAGAGCGGGGCCCTTGCCGTGCAGAGCGGGGGCCCATCCGTTCACCCTTTAAACAGCAATGTAAGGGTTGTCCCCCCACCCGCACTCCAACCCTCTGGAAGTGAAACTAAAGGGGAAAATCACCCATTACAGTCCCCAAGCAAGCCCAGCAGTTCAGAGCTCGTAAATTTTTTGTTTAAACGGGGCCAATGTAATGTTGTCCCCCAGCCCCAGCCCCCAATTTAATGGAGGTCTAAACCTCCAGGGCGGTCAGCCATTCCCAAGGCCCCAACAACCCCAGAAAGGGGGGGCCCCAAGCCGTGCAGAGCGGAACCCATCCCAATTTCCATGCAGTCAGGAAATTTTAAGGTTTTTCCCCCCGGAAATGCTTAAAGGTTCGGGAAAACTGTAAATCAAGGCAGCCCAGTAAATTGCCCAAAAAAAGCAAGCCCACCCAGAGTAGGCCCATGCCTTAAAAGTGCAAATTTCCATGCTTTGCAGAGTGGGGGATCACACGGCCCAAATATGGCCCTCAGGGAAAGTGACATTTTGTCACCCAGCCATTTACCAGTTTCTGGAGTAGAACCCAAAAAGGCGATAAGTAAATTGAAAAACAAAGCAAGCCCAGAAGGGAAAGTGGGGGGCCCTGCCCCCAACCAGGAGCCCACCCAACAGGCCGTTCGAGCGGGGGCCCTTTCCCGGTTAAAGAGTGGAGCAGAGACACCCTGTAAACTCCCATTTCTCCGCGCAGATTCCCAAGGGGAAAACTTTGGAAGCGGGAAAACCCCTGAAGGAAAAATTTAAACCAGCAGTGTGTAAGGGGTTGGGGAAAGGGGGGCCGGAACCCCTCATTACCCCCCAGGTCCCGGAAAAAATGAAAGATGATGGGCCCTTTTAAAGCCTCCCCCAATTTGGGCCCCGGAGAGTATTCCCTTTAAAAATAAAAGCTAAAAGGCCCCCTTTCCCCCCCAGTCCCGCTGATGGGGATCAAAATTTTTAAAAGGGGCCCCGCGGATAGGAACCCAAAAAAGTCTTAAAGTCCCCTGTGCTGCACCCGGCTGACAGGTTTCCTGTTTCTGGAGAAGGGAAGGGAAGGGACCTTGGGAAAGTAAGGCTTCGCCCCAAGAAAAGGATTGACTCCATTACAGGCCAAAGGGCCCTGCCGCCCCGGGAATGAAGCCCTTAAAAGACGCGGTTTAAAGCCCGGGGGCATTAAACTGGCCGGTGTATATCGAGGAAACATTGATGCTGTTCTGGAAGAACTGGGACCAGGGGGGGAGGTTGTATCGGGAGTGCGATTGGGTTGGGGCACAATTAAGTGTAAAGATGGAGTCTTCTTTCAGAGTCGGATCCGGGGAATGATCCAAGGCACGTACCAGCAAATGTTGCCTTCCTGAAAGACAGACTCCGCAGCTCTGGAGGGACAGCGGTTAGCGTCAGCTTCACCAGCAGACTTTCATAGTGCAGGAACCCAGAAGAAGCGACATGGGTACTCCAGCACATGGACTATGAGGACGGTTGTTGCTACCCCCGGTTCTCATGGGGTGGAACCAATGCTGAGGGGATGGTGTTCGGGATGGGGTTAGTTGATAATTATGCAGATGAAGCTGCTGATGCTAGTGGTGATATGGCCAGTGCTGATATCACTAATATTGTTGTAGGGGTTCCTGATGTCATTAACACTGAGGTTAGGTATGTCTGGATGGGGTCGGGGGACCAGTCTGAGGACCCTGTGAATGTGGCAATGGAGGAGTCAGTTCAGGATAACACCCGTGATTTCCCCCTTTGGTTGAGTCGCCACCCCTGCATCACAAGAGAAATAGTGGTCCATCTGGCCATGTCCCTCCTCGGAATGCCTGGAGCGTGGGGCTCCTTCTTTTTTTCCAACAATGCCGGTTATACTGGTCAGGCCTTCAAGAGGAGGAACAGTGTCAGGTTGAAGCATAGGGGTTCCAGAGAAGAGCTCCCTGATAGGAGGTTTGTAGTTAGGGAGTTGCTGTGTCAGCAGATGGGGTTTGTGCCCGCAGATATTTTGGCAGTCATCAACCTCCCTGACAGACAGGGGTATGATGTCGGCTTCAAGCTCATGTCTGGCTTGGACAGGTTCTGGGCCGGCTTTAGTGGGTTTCGGGGATAAAGAGGGGTGGAAGATTTTCACCTTCATCCCCATCTCCAAACCTGACACAGCAAACGTGAACATCATTTTCTGGAATGAGTCTGTGCCCCCCCAGGATATTGTAGTCTGGCTCAGAAGGCATTGTGAGATGGTCTCTGATCTGACCAAAAAACTAGGGACAGTGATGGGATCTGGACTGGAGGTTGGAGGGTTCTTGTCAAGCTGAGGCAGAGTAACCATGTCACCCATCACCTTCCAAAACTCCTTCTTCATTGGGCGGGAGAGGGGAGTTTGCTTCTATGCAGGTCAGCCCAGGCTATGTTTCAAATGCGGTAGTCGGGTCATGTGGCGAGTGTCTGCTCTATCATGAAGTGTAATCTGTGTGGGGAGGTCGGCCATGTCAGTTCTACCTGTGAGAACATCAAGTGCAATCTATGTGGTTGGCTTGGCCATTTACACAGAGATTGCCCCGGTGGCTTTCCACAATAGGGATGAGGAATCAGTGGATGAGGAATTTCTGGTGGCAGCAGAACACCTGGAGGAGGGAAGCCTTAATGAATGGGGTCATATCAACTGAGGGGGAGGTAAACCCAGAAGTCCAAGGGGCCAGCCTCGGGCAGGAGGGCAGTGTTCAGCAGACTGAGGAGCAGCGGCCATCTGTGGCCATCCCATCCATTTTCAGTTCCTGCCTCTGTGGAGAACATTCCCAGGCAGAAGAGAAGGAATAGGAAGGACAAGGCCACCCGTAAACCTGAAAGTGAATGGACCCGAGTGCAGAAAAATCCGCTAAGAAAGTGAGAAGGGCGCCAGAAGGTAGTATGGCAGTCAGCAACCAGTATGATGTCCTATCAGAGTCAGATGCCGCGACTCCTGTGATCTAGGGGACCAAATGGAGGAAGAAGTAGAAAGGGAATCTGCAGCTAGTTCAGGGGAGGACCCGCCCACTAAGAAGCGCCCGCCCCCGGCTCCCGTATTTGTAGAATCCGATATGGAAACTGGTAGTCGGCGGAGCGACTCAGATTCCGATTTATAAAAGAGTTTAGAGCCGAAAGGAATATAAAATGGGAGGAATTTATTTACAGCATCAAATTCTATGCAGAACTTTCATTAGTTTAATTTGTTGACTTTCTGTCGTGAAGATGTAGGCAGTTGTTACATTGTTGGTTTGTGTGTTTTTTTATGATGATGGTTACAGTTTTGTTACCTTGTAATTTGTTTGTTTATACAAATAAAAATATCCATACATACAGAATGAGGACAGATACCGAGAATGAATGACACCCGGCATCCGGGACAGGAGAAGTGGGACTGTGCAGAGTCCATCATACATACAGAAGAAGGACAGAGAATTCTAGGCAGGGTTGGCAGACATCCTCTCTCTCACTTAGTTTGACCCAGTTGGCGGTGTTCTGAGTTGGCAGGGCTCTGATGTTGGCGGAGTTCTGATGTTGGCGGAGTTCTGATGTTGCACGTACGGGGTGATAGAAGAGCTCAGCACTTCTTATCTCTGCTGTATAAGCTCTTCTCCAGCTTTACGCTCGGTGATAAGTCTGACCGTGCCGAATTCCGTCTGCAGATCAGCGCCGGGTGCCGCATCCTCTGTTAAATGTTTAATTAGCTTGGACACAATGGATAACACTTAATCTGGCGTGTGAGCCCAAGTGTGCCGGGAGGGAGCCGATTAGAGCGCAGGAGGAACACAGGAATTAACTCTTCCTGCTGGATCCAGAGGATGTACGAGGGAAGGAGGCCGAGCACTGCACAACCAAAATAAAACTCCCCTCTCTCTGGATTCATGGGTGTTGGAAAACTTAAAGTGTTGATGGAACACAGAATACCTTGACTAGTCATCAATAAATGTGAGCACTTGTAGGACCTCATAGATAGGTCGGATCTCTCGCAGGACCTCATAGACAGGCTGGATCTCTCACAGGACCTCATAGACAGGTCAGATCTCTAGGAAGACCTCATAGACAGGTCAGATCTCTCGCAGGACCTCATAGACAGGTCAGATCTCTTGCAGGACCTCAAAGACCGGTAGGATCTTTCAGAGGACCTCATAGATAAGTCAGATCTCTTGCAGGACCTCAAAGATAGGTCAGATCTCTTGCAGGACCTCATAGACAGGCCGGATCTCTCACAGGACCTCATAGACAGGCCGGATCTCTTGCAGGACCTCATAGACAGGCCGGATCTCTCACAGGACCTCATAGACAAGCCGGATCTCTCACAGGACCTCATAGACAGGTCGGATCTCTAGCAGGACCTCATAGACAGGTCAGATCTCTTGCAGGACCTCATAGACAGGTTGGATCTCTCGCAGGACCTCATAGACAGGTTAGAGCTCTTGTAGAACATCATAGATAGGTCGGATCTCTCGGAGGACATCATAGATAGGTCAGATCTCTCCAAAAACCTCATAGACAGGTCGGATTTCTCGTAGGACCTCATAGACAGGTTGGATCTCTCAGAGGACCTCATAGGCAGGTTGTATTTCTTGCAGGACCTCATAGACAGGTCAGATCTATTGCAGAACCTCATAAACAGGTTAGAGCTCTTGTAGGTCCTCATAGACAGGTCAGATTTCTCGCAGGACCTCATAGACAGGTCAGATAGGTCAGATTTGTTATAGGACCTCAGAGATTGGTCATATCTTTTGCAGGATCTTGAAAATTGGTCAAATATCTTGTAGGACCTCATAGACAGGTTGGATTTCTTGCATGACTTCATAGATAGGTTGGATTTCTCACAGGATTTCATAGACAGGTCGGATCTCTCGCAGGATCTCATAGACAGGTCGGATCTCTCGCAGGATCTCATAGACAGGTCGGATCTCTCGCAGGATCTCATAGACAGGTTGGATCTCTCGCAGGATCTCATAGACAGGTCGGATCTCTCGCAGGATCATTCATAGACAGGTTGGATCTCTCGCAGGATCTCATAGACAGGTCGGATCTCTCGCAGGATCTCATAGACAGGTCGGATCTCTCGCAGGATCTCATAGGCAGGTCGGATCTCTCGCAGGATCTCATAGGCAGGTCGGATCTCTCGCAGGACCTCAATGACAGGTTGGGATCTCTTGCAGGACCTCATAGTTTTGCCTTCAGCCATAAAACATACGTTTGCCAGCCTCCTGGCTATTTCTCTATGCAGGACAGACATTTTGGAGCCCCTCAACCTGCATCCGTAAGACCCCTGTGTGGCATACCCTTGTCTGGTGAGAAGGAGCATGTGGTAGGTATCTTTCTGGTGACTGGCATAGAGAGTCGTGTAGATAACCTTCCATATCCTGTCCATTACTGCTGGCCGGAGACATCTTTATCAAATCATATGACTTGAATCTCCAGAGTCAGTGCACCAGATGGTGGAGTGATTGGTCTCATTCACAGGGGGTACTGATTCCCGTAGTCCATGAATGGGTGGTGTGTATAGGTAACTAGAGCTTCCAGGTGCTGCATGCCAATGTAAGTCTGTGGGGATGCAGCGGCTCAAGCCACATGAACACACAGGCCAATCAAAGAGCAAAGGTCCAATAAGGCGGAAGGCACCTTCAGCATCTGGAATGTCTTCTATTCCATCTCTTGATGTTGTGGAACATATCTGATTTGTGAGGTCATTTCCCCAGTTCTGCAGTTGCCGTGAAGTGACCGGTCTGATTGCACACGCAACATTCCCATGGTTCCCGTGGCAGATTACTTCTGTTTTGCAGATTCTGTGGTCAGAGCATTGTCAGCATTTACACTTTGTGAGCTCCTCATCAGGGCTCGGTCTCAGAGCTGCTATATGTGTCCTTCTAGACCTGGAAGGTGTTCCACCATCTCCAAGGTCCATGTCCCCCTTTTGTCGGCTCAGTCTGGTCTAATGTTCTGGTGACATTCAGTTTATTGTGGAGATGTTGTGTACACTCTGGAGCTCTGTGTCACATCCTGTGCTCCTCTGGTTCTGATCTGTAGGCTCCTTTATACATTTCCTGGACTGGCAATTCTGGGTTGTCACATTTGAGACTGAAATCTATCCTAACTCCTGAGCCTGGCACTCTGTACCTTCCACACTCCTGAGCCCTGCACTCTGTACCTTCCACACTCCTGAGCCCGGCACTCTGCACCTTCCACACTCCTGAGCTCTGCACTCTGCACCTTCCACACTCCTGAGCCCTGCACTCTGCACCTTCCACACTCCTGAGCCCGGCACTCTGCACCTTCCACACTCCTGAGCTCTGCACTCTGCACCTTCCACACTCCTGAGCCCGGCACTCTGCACCTTCCACACTCCTGAGCCCTGCACTCTGCACCTTCCACACTCCTGAGCCCTGCACTCTGCACCTTCCACACTCCTGAGCCCTGCACTCTGCACCTTCCACACTCCTGAGCCCTGCACTCTGCACCTTCCACACTCCTGAGCCCTGCACTCTGTACCTTCCACATTCCTGAGCCCGGCACTCTGTACCTTCCACACTCCTGAGCCCTGCACTTTGTACCTTCCACACTCCAGAGTACCTTCGGCCCTGCACTCTGTACCTTCCACACTCCTGAGCCCTGCACTCTGTACCTTCCACACTCCTGAGTCTCACTGTAGTTCCTGCACTCTGTACCTTCCACACTCCTGAGTCCTGCACTCTGTACCTTCCACACTCCTGAGTCCTGCACTCTGTACCTTCCACACTCCTGAGTCCTGCACTCTGTACCTTCCACACTCCTGAGTCCTGCACTCTGTACCTTCCACACACCCTGAGCTCTGTACTCTGTTCCACACTCCTGAGCCTCTGTACCTTCCACACTCCTGAGCCGGCACTCTGTACCTTCCACACTCCTGAGCCCTGCACTCTGTACCTTCCACACACCTGAGCTCTGCACTCTGTAGCCTTCCACACTCCTGAGCCCTGCACTCTGTACCTTCCACACTCCTGAGCCCGGCACTCTGTACCTTCCACACTCCTGAGCCCGGCACTCTGTACCTTCCAAACACTCCTGACTCTGTACCCTGCCCGGCACTCTGTACCTTCCACACTCCTGAGCCCGGCACTCTGTACCTTCTACACTCCTGAGCCCGGCACTCTGTGAGCCCGGCACTCTGTACCTTCCACACTCCTGAGCACTCACTCTGTGAGCCCGGCACTCTGTACCTTCTACACTCCTGAGCCCGGCACTCTGTACCTTCTACACTCCTGAGCCCTGCACTCTGTACCTTCCACACTCCTGAGCCCACTCTGTACCTTCTACTCTGTACCTTCCAAAGTCCTGAGCCCTGCACTCTGTACCTTCCACACTCCTGAGCCTGCACTCTGTACCTTCCACACTCCTGAGCCCTGACCTTCCAAACACCCTGGCACTCACTCTGTACCTTCCACACTCCTGAGCCCGGCACTCTGTACCTTCCACATTCCTGAGCCCGGCACTCTGTACCTTCCACAGCCCGGCACTCTCCCACATTCCTGAGCCCGGCACTCTGTACCTTCCACATTCCTGAGCCCGGCACTCTGTACCTTCCACATTCATTCTGAGCCCGGCACTCTGTACCTTCCACATTCCTGAGCCCGGCACTCTGTACCTTCTACACTCCTGAGCCCTGCACTCTGTCCCTTCCACACTCCTGAGCCCGGCACTCTGTCCCCTTCCACACTCCTGAGCCCGGCACTCAGTACCTTCTACACTCCTGAGCCCTGCACTCTGTACCTTCCAAAGTCCTGAGCCCTGCACTCTGTACCTTCCAAACTCCTGAGCTCTGCACTCTGTGTACATTATTCCCCTGCACTGTTCACTCTGCTGTACATTATACACCCAGCATCTCCATCACCGGGGTGGGTGATAACATGACACGATTTTTGGACGATTCAGGCTTTCGTTTTGTCCTGCAAAGGTATGACCAACGTCTGCTCACGGAGAACCTCATTCCACAAGAGGGATGTCCTCTGACACATACCCTCTATTATTATATGCGTTGTCCTGTGTTAGTGTGTTCTGGTGTGGTGAAGCCGGCCAGTGTTTCCTACACCAGAACACACTAACACAGGACACCTCATATAATAATAGAGGGTGTGGTGAAGCCGTTGTAGGAGACACTGGCCGGCTGCACCATACCCTCTGTTATTATATGAGGTGTCCTGTGTTAGTGTGTTCTGGTGTGGGAGACACTGGCCGGCTGCACCATACCCTCTATTATTATATGAGGTGTCCTGTGTTAGTGTGTTCTGGTGTGGGAGACACTGGCCGGCTTCACCATACCCTCTATTATTTTATGAGGTGTCCTGTGTTAGTGTGTCCTGCTGTAGGAGACACTGGCCGGCTTCACCACACCCTCTATTATTATATGCGTTGTCCTGTGTTAGTGTGTTCTGGTGTCGGAGACACT